TTTTGTGATAGCGATGCCCTCTGATATGTGTTCACCATTGTTTATGTAATTTCAAGGTGCAAAATACTCCTGAGAAGTCAACAGTTGCTGTGCTAGTCCTGAAATTTCCCACATTTTGTGGAACCCGAAGGTTCATTTTTGTGTTCATTTGATTCCACAATTACTCATGGGGCAGATGAATCGAGTGTTCCCTTTGACACTTTGTGTTTATGTCCCTTTTAATAATAACCCGGCATTCATTCTCAGCCTGTCAAAGTAATATTCCCTTACATTATTCCAAAATAATTTATGAATTTCCCATCTTGCTAATGCCTGCTACCTGCTCCACCCACATCACTCTTGGAGAAATGTTTCTAGTATGACATGGCAAACTGTAATCGGAACAGCCACTGCTTGTTTGCCACACAATGATTCAAAAATTGCTAAGATCCACTAGTGCATTTAAATTGTGTCCAAATAAAACTTCAAAACTTTGTTAAACTTGTAACTATGTATAAATTGTGCTGTCAATTTGAATGCTTAATTTCTTGTTTCCTGAAACACTCTACCAAGAGGAATTTGACAGACCATTTCATATCTTCTTAAAATCTTACAGAAACAGAACTGCAGAATGAAGTCAGATCTCATAAATTTGTTGCAAAAAAGCATGAAGATGCTCAGACACAGGAGAATAAAGAATTACAAGAAAAGCTCTCAGGGCACGGAAGAGAAATAAGCAAACTGCAGACACAGTGTATGTAGGTTTTTATTCTATTATTGTACAAAGTTAAGTGTACAGATATACAAATTATGAAATTTTATCAATTACCATGTTGTTACGGAAAATGGCTGTCTTCTGGGTTGTGCCATGTAGTCTAGTAGAAGTTTACCGACATTTCAGAGGTCTTTGGTGCCTACATCATTAGGGCGGCCTCTGAAACGTCGGCAAACTTCTATCTGACTACACGGCACAACAAACCAGAAGGCAGCCACCTTCAGATTCACTGCCATGAAAACCTCAAATCCTACATATATACCACGTTACTGCAAGTCTCTTCAGAACTGCAGTATCTTTCTTGGCATTTTGTTCCATTTACCCACAAAATGTTTTCGAAAACCTGAGTTAGAGATGAAGTTTTGCTTCTAAAGAACAGGAATGAATGTTATCCAACATTTTGGCAAATATTTCAGTTGCCATTGTCACCCTCAATGAAGCCATTTCAAAGTCAGCTGTAATGTGGGATAATCCTAAATATATGACATGACTCATTCCTGGAAGCCAAGTTTATGATCTTAACTCCAGCTACAAAATCCTAACAAGATGAACTAACACAGTCATGAAATGTTGCAGTGACAGATATGGAGAATGAAATCAGATCTCAAAAGTTTGTTGCAAAGAAGCATGAAGACACTCTTCGTGCTCAGATGGAAGTCAATAAGAAATCAAACCTACAGACATCCAAACAGTCACGAGAGATCAGAAATATAAATGTATAGAGTATGTATCATTTTATTCTATTTACGTGTTAGGTTATAGGCGATCAGACAACTGACCAAGAAGCTGAGTAAAGGTGGAGTCCTGCGCAAGCGCAAGGTAACACCATTCCTGCGTACGAAACGTATTGCTGGAAATGGTAAACAGAGCCTTGTAACTAAAACGGGAGTTTGCTTATGCTAGCCGGGGTTAGACATCTGCACCAAATGCACGGAACCGCACTGAATCTTTTGCCATCTCCAAGGACTTTTACTCATACAGAGCCACATGAATCTTAGCCAGTTTCATTTAGCTAGCTGCTAGCGTCATTTACAGCATCTCACCGCTACCTCCGGTCACTAGTTCATGTTTACTGCAACTCAATCGAGAGTGAAATATGCGGGTAGAGGGTGACAGGACATTTCTGTGGCGCGGTCCTTGTTCCTGACGTCAATGAGATTTTAATTTTCCATTGTGTCACGCCGACCAACATTCTGAAGTGTAGTTTCTCGGTATGATGCTCTTTACACGCGCCAATTTACACTGTTTTGCGAGTGTTCGTATTGTTTCGACATTATATGGTCATCATCAGGTTCACGTGTGGTACATCAGCCATTGCACCTACTCGGTGTAAACAAGTCTTACCATAATTACACTGTTTTGTCCACGAACAGAATTAAATTAACGGTAACAGCATGATGTGTCTTGTTTTCTTTTAGTGTTTGTTACGTGCTCTTGCTGAGTTTAACACTGCTGACTGTCCCGCCACCACCATTTTAATGCATGAGTGATATATCTAGTTATTTTCAAACTAGGCCTACTTTTATCTGCTTTAACAAACTGAGAATTATGTAGAGCCTGTTATGACATGGATAATTTTCAACCTATGGCCTATAAAAGTTTATTTGTGGGTAGATTCAAAACAAGATGGCAAGTAACGAATTCGGGCATTGAGCTCGTGTGACTAAATTCCTAAATTCTGTACATATACCTTACATCGTGTCCAGCCCACAGAAACCTTGTACATTTCAGTATCATGGTTTATTTTACTCGTAAGATTAATATAATGATTAGCGCAAATAAAAGTTGCTTCCCGGTTAAACCTGTAATTCTGATGCTCTGTTACAGAGAAACAACGACGGACCGGCAATATCAGCATAGACGATTTTGAACGCCTGATGGTGCTACGAAAAGGAGGTAAGTGCAGGTTTCTGTTAATTCTGAACCAATTTTACTGCTTATAGAACGCGAACCTGATTACCCGAACCTTCATGGACAGATTGGCAGCAGTAGTACTAGTAAGTTGTTATTGTTGTTATTATTATTATTAGTAGTAGTAGTAGTAGTAGCTGCAGCAGAAGCAAGGGAAGTGGAGCCCATCCTCAGTTTTGAATGAGTTACAACTTTTATAGATACGTGACTACAGAAACCTTCTTTCCCCACTCAGATCCCTGTTACAGAGGATCTTTGTGGCAGACGATGACGGAGTGCCGCGTGTCAGCGGAGGTAGGCGACAGCCCGTTCTTGGTTAAGTCGCACTACACCTTCCAGACGGAATCTGATCTGCACCTTGTGATGGGTGAGTACATAAAGAACTGCTCTCATGTTCGGGACAGAACCGCGACTGGGTGTTTGGGTCCTGAATGGCAACGAACTGAAGTCTGTAACTACGTTTAGTAGATTCAGAATTCGCAGCCGAATTACGGAAGAATTCCTTGCTTCTAGTTAAACTATGTTACCCTTCAACTTCTGCTCTATGTGACGCTAGGTCTAGTTCATAATAGGGTAGAAGCACACTGTAGATACTCAATAATTTTTAATAAGACTGACGTCTAGTAAGCATAATGATCGTTAAAATAACGAGGTCTGGAAATTATTGTTGTTTTTAATGTGTTCACAGACTTTCTGAATGGTGGAGACTTACATGACCTTCTGGACCATGAACAGAAACTTCCAGAGGACGATGTTAAATTCTACACATCGAAGATCGTCCTCGGTATCGAACACCTGCACAAAGTAGGCGCACTGCAGCCCTCGCCAATGAACTGCCTAACAAATACAGAATTTGTTTGTTTGTTTGCACATTCAGATAGCTCATTTCTGTGTCGGGTTGAAAATGACAGCCAACAGTTTGGGAAATCACGATTGTTTTCATTAAGTAAAAAAATAATTATTTTTTATGAGTTGTGTTAGAAAGGGTCATTTGTTAAGATCACACGGTTCCTGTCCCTAATCCTCCCCCCTCCGCCGCTTTCAGACTCAGTGACACGAAACTTTCTGACTCATGAGCATAGTCATAACTTAATAAATAACAATAATTGTGGAAAATTAGTCAGAGCAGCTACAGTGTAGCAGAAAAGCAAACTGCTCGGTGTGCATCTCACAGCCACAATAAGTACAGAAACAGAACAGAAGCAATTTGTTATCTCCCCCCTCCCCCCAGATGGGCTTCATCTACCGCGACCTCAAACCCGCGAAAGTCCTCGTAGACTCCAGTGGCCACTTGAGGATTACTGACTACGGCCTCTGTAAAAAAAATCCACCCTCGTCAGAAGGTAAATTTAATTTCCACCATAGGCCCATTTGTTGCTTAGTCCAGCTATAGGAACACAACAATGTAGGAGCTGCGTGCACCACTGTCTGACTCTCCGACTGTCAGTATGCTTTGTCTGACGGACGTCATAATACAAGAATCATAAAGGTTGCACGGATTTCAGTTGTTAAAATTGCTTCATCCATGATCAGATTGTGTGTCTTGTACCAATATTTAATGGAAAGTGCAACTAACATGCATCGGATGCACTCCGAAATTGAGGAGCTGAACTCAGAAGCACAGAACCATTTTAAATGTAGCACATCTGTTTGCAATTCCTTCGGTTTTTTTACCATAAAGAAATACAAATACCATAAACAGAAATTACATGATCTGCCCGGCTCAGATCGCTGCAAATGCTATTTGCCTCTGGAATTAATTGATCCCCAAAAAAATACCTTAGCCTATCCTTCACCCTAGCTTTATTGAAGCTGACTGCTTTACTTTTACCTGGATTTATCTTCATTTCATTTTCTACCGCCCATTCCCATAATCTATTCAAATCTGTCTGTAACTTATCAATGTCACTACTATCCATTATTTTCCTGTATATTATACAATCATCAGCGAAAAGCCGTATATTTGGATCAATGTTTTTCCATCAAGTTCGGTACCACGAACGTGATTATCAACGTAGATGACAACCTTATCGACAATATGATCGGGAAGCCTTCCGTGATTGTAGCCCTCGGGATCCAGAACCTATGGAAGAAGCAACTCAGGACCAAATCAGAGACCTCAAATGGATCCGCAGGCTTCACCGTTTGTTCGCAGGCAAACAATTAACCAAGGACGGTTATAATACGTGTAAATCAACAGGAATGCAAAATGAAGCTAGTTTTGAGTCCTGATTCCCTCGTCCAATGAATCAGCGACATCTTGACAAATCGTGACTACTTGACTTTCGCATGAGTACCCTGGTCTAAACCCACGTTGACCCTCACATAACCACTCAATCCTTTCCCAGACTTGCCTTAGATAACCTGCTATAACGTGCTCCATTTGATTGTAAACCACTGAGGTTACACTGACCGGATGCTTTTAGAGACATTTTCTCTAATGCATCTATTAAGTAGGCAGAGAAGAAGTTCAGCATTTTAGTACGTCCTTCCTAGCCCATGATCAAGTGCAATACAACTTAATCGGCAGTGAAATAACAAGAAAGACGTGTCTGTGGCCTATTTTCTCTTAATCTTTTTTCAGCCCCCAAGAACCGGAAAGACCTTCTTGGCCGAGGCTATTGCTGCAGAGGCAGAAGATTCCAAATTTTTCTGTATTAGATCGTCAGACCTGACGTCCAACTCAGTTGCACACTCAGATACACTTGTCACAGGGTTATTTGAAGATGCAAGACAGCATAGACCAAGTGTCATTTTCTTTAATGAAGTGGGTTGATTTGCTACAAACAGCAGTAGAGTGTTAGCAGATTATGTTTTCATTCAAGAGTATTGAATTATAGAATAAACATAACTGGGAATGAATGGGATATTTTTCGTGTAGGTATATAGCACGAGAGGCAAGGTGAAACCACAGTGGTATTCTAGCAAGAAAATCCCGATGAACAGTGTGATAATTCAAAACGGCACC